TGCTGGTCAGCGCGTGCGGCCTGGCGGGGGACGGGGCCGTCATCTGGCTGCTGGGCTTCCGCGGGAAGAGGACCCCCTTCTCCGTCTACGTCCTCCACCTGGCCTGCGCCGACGCCGCCTTCCTCGCGGGTGTATGCGTGAAGCTCTCGCTTTTCCTGGCGGGTTGCCACGAGCGCCTGCTGCATAACCTACTGAGGGTGGTGCTCGTCCCTTCGTACCTGGCGGGGCTGAGCCTGCTGGTGGCCGTCAGCGCCGAGCGCTGCGTCTCCGTGCTCTGGCCCCTCTGGCACCGGTGCCGCCGGCCCGCCCGCCTCTCCTCCGTGGTGTGCGGCCTCATCTGGGCGCTGTCCCTAGGCCTGGGGGTCCTGGGGGTCCTGTGTGACGACTACGTTGGGTTCTCATGTAGGGAGATCTCGCTCATCTATTACGGGGCGTCGGCCATCACCTTCCTGGGGCTGTGCGCGTCGGGCCTGACGCTGCTCGTCCGCGTCCAGTGCGGCCCCTGGAGGCGCCGGCCCAGCCGGCTCTACGTGACCCTCCTGCTCAGCGCCCTGGCCTTCCTGCTGCTCGGGCTGCCGTACGGAGTGGGCCACATGTTCCACGCCCTCTCCCCATCCATGCCCTACGATTACATCCTGCTGCCCGTCTGCCACCTCCTCTCAATCCTGAACTGCCTGGTGAACCCCCTCATTTACTTCTTCGTGGGGAGCCATGGGCGGCGCAAGGGCCTGGCCCCCCTCTGAGACGTGCTCCAGAGGGCGCTGAGGGATGAGGAGGAGGGGCCTGAGCAGAGCAGCACCTCCGTCTCCAGAGAAACCGAGGTGTCCCCCTGAGTCCCAAGATCTTGTCTGTGGACTTACAGTGTTTAGAGATCTGTCCTCTGGGGCATTTTGCAAAAATTCTTGGGGAGAATGAAACTCGGGTGTATGGGCCTCCCTGGTGACGCAAGGGGTTAAGCACAACACTGTGAAACAGTCTGTGGCCTCTGCAGCAGGAGTTTGACCCCAGGCCGGCCAGAGAAACCACAGGGTGCAGCAGACTCTCCTGTCTCCCCGCGGCTCCCCTCAGCAGTGTGTTTCAGTCCGTCCGCCCGTTCTGCTCCCTCCTCTGTCTCTGGTGAGTCCTCTCAGCCTCCCCTGCCTCTGGCCTGTCCCCAGCTCTTGGATGCATAAATAAATCTTAAAAAAAAAAAACTTCGGTGTAAAAATGAGTAAAACTGGGCCTCCCCAGTGGCGCAGCAGTTGAGCGCTGGGCTGTGAAGCTGCCGGCAGACTCTGCAGGGCCGGTTCGATCCCCGGCAGCTGGCGAGGGTCCCGCATGGCGCGCAGACCTCTCCTGCCGCCCGCTGCTCCCCTCAGCAGTGTCCTTCGGTCCTTCTGCCTGCTCTGCTCCCCGCTCTGGCTCTGGTGAATTCTCTCACCCTCCCGCGCTTCTGACTGTACCCAGTGCTTGTATAAATAAATAAATCTTTTTTAAAAAATGAGTAAAAATCTCATTTGTCTCTGAAGCAGACTGTTCCCAGGGTCATTTCTTTAACCCCCATCGATCTTCCTTCTAGAAGCTTCCTCCCGGCTGTTATCTGACTCTCTCGCAGGTCCTGGTCTGCTCAGACGGGTCTCTCGGCGCCTGGCACGGGCCTCAGCCCCGCGTCCTCTGTCTGTCCGTCTGTCTGCTGTGTCCACTGGGCCCTGGTGAGTGGACTCAGGGACCTGGATCTCGCTCTGTGCCCGCCTGCGCCTGCTCTGGCGTCACCGCTCCTCGGGGGCCGGGCTTGGTGCTCAGCGAGCGGACGTGGGCCTGCTTCGCGGGCGTCTGCTCCTTTCCAGCAAGCAAAGTGTTTCCTTAGCTCCCGGGGTAAAACGTCTCTGCTCCTGGAGTGCGCGTGTGAGCGGGTGTGTGCAGGTGTGTGTGGGGGTGTGGAGGTGTGTGTGGGTGTGCACGGCGGGTGTGCCTGGGTGTGCACAGCACCGGGCCTGCATCACTGTCCAGAGGCCGGTGCCAAGCCAGCCCCATGCAGGGACTGGATTCTGCCGACGGCTGTTCCCCCGGCCCCTGCAGCCCCGTCATCTGTGTGACCCCAACTCCGCGGCACTGTCAGTGTTAAGACGCGTGTCCGTGAGCATCTCCAGCAGCGGCAGCTGCTCTGGCGGCTCTGCCCGGGCCCCACAGGCCTTCAATCGAGCAGGCTCGGCCCCAGAACCGTGCTGGGCGCCCCCCTCCCAGGACCCAGCCTGCCCTCAGGCAAGACCCCAACACCCACGGCAAGGGCTTTGCTACCTGCGAGACCTAGAATTTCCCCAGGGAGCTGGTAGAGAGGGGCAGGCCCAGGCATGGGGTTCCTCTTTTTGGGGGTAGGATGGAGCTTTGTGGGCTCACTGTTTATTGGTGAATTTCAAACCCAAGAGGGTGAATTTAAGGTGGTGGAATGAAGGGGGAGGGAGAGCAGGGGGCGGGAGGAGGGAGAGCCCAGCGAGGAGCACCTGCTGCAGGTGTTGGCAGGCCGGCCGGGGCTGGCGGCTCTCGTCCGGGCACAGGCGGGCTGGCAGAAGGAGCGCTCTCGGGAGTGGGTGCCGGGGCCCCAAAGGTGAAGGGCCCTGGCCACAGAGGGGAAGGTCCCCACGCAGCCCTGCTGCCCCTCCCGTGGCGCGGAGGCCCAAGCGGGTGCCGATAAGGGCAGGTCTGAGGAGACACCAGAGACCGGCTGAGACCGGCGGGGCAGGGAATCGCAGGATCCGTGCCGCGGAGTGGGGGGCACAGGGGAAGTCTGATGGGTCCCCCGTCGGCAGTTTAAATCCCGCTGATGGCGGTGTGCTTTGGTCCTTCTGCCTGTTCTGCTCCTCGCTCTGGCTCTGGTGAATTCTCTCACCCTCCCACGCTTCTGACTGTACCCAGTGTTTGGATAAATAAATAAATAAATCTTTAAAAAATTAAATAAATAAATAAATAAATAAATAAATAAATCCCGCTGATGTCCCTGGGGCCCTGAGGGCCGGAGAGCCGCAGGCACAGCCGAGCACGCACGCTGGTCCGGAAAAGCCGGGGTTCTGCTGTCCCGAGAGAAGACAAGAGCCGCCTCTGAGCCGTCCCCGTGGGGCCCACGGGTCAGATGGGCCAGTGACAGGTGGAGAAGGGACGCCAGACCCCAGGCGAGGAGGCGGCTGGAACTCGCCCTCCGTCTCCTGCGCAGACCACACCCGTGTCCCGGCACGCACCCTCTCGGACCCCGGCTGCGTCCCGCGGCGGCGGCCACGGCCTTCCGATCCGCTTGGCCTCATCCAGAGCCACAGTTTCAGCTCTGGTTGCCCTCGTTGTCCCCCCAAAAGTCCCCACCCCTGCGGGTTTGGGTCAATTTCGTCTCCTCGAGGACCCCCGGTGACCCGAGGTTCGTGGACCTGGCGGGAAGCGCCCTCCTGCCTTTCTGGTGGGGTGCAGCACCCCAGCCGTCAAGGGGATGGTCCGGCGCCCAGGCGTTGCCGCTCGGCCGTGGGGGCCGTGGGCTTTGGCGTCGGCCCGTGGGGCAGAGCCCGCGCTGTGGGGCGGGCGTCTTCCTGAACTCACGCCAGGAAGCGGCAGGAGAGAAGGCGCCCGGCGGGTGTGAGTTCTGCTTCTGCGGGCACCGGCAGGAAGAAAGGCGAGCGCCCACTGGTGGCCCACAGAGTGGGTTTCTCCCAAATGACTGCTGCCCCGAGGGAGGACGCCTCCACCGCAGAGGAAAATGCAGCCACAGTCACCTGAGCATGCAGGACGGTGACCCCCCGCCCCCCGCCCCAGGTCCACCCAGGCCCCCGATGGATGCTTGTCTGGCTTGAACCCAGTTTCCCCATTAAACAGAATCCACGTCACCCCTCTCGTCTCAGGCTCGTCATCCAGCTCAGAGCCATGATCGAAGCGTCCCTGCGAAATGTCTCTCCATGAACTGCTCTGAGGGGGAGGCCACCTTTCCAGAACAAGCAGAAGCAAGCGCGTTGCCCGAAGGTCCACGTGCTTCGTTGTTTGTGACTGAGGGTCTGACTGGGGCTCATTCAAGGGGGTTGACAGGGAATTTGGTTGCAGCGTTTCAAGATCATGGCCAACAAGGTCTCGCCCGTGCGAGGAGCCGGCTTCGCTTCACGGCTCTTTCTTGAGGACAGAGACTGACTCTGAGGAGACACTCAGGGGGCCTCTGAGATCCCCCATTCTCCTTGGGTCCAGAGACTTCTTTCCTCAGACACTTGTATGAAGGCGCCCACTTCAGGAGGGTGACCGCCCCCCGGCACCTGCAGTCCTCACCGTGGCCCGCCCACCCCACCTTGCTCTGCCGGCTCTCCCTCCACAGAGGCGTTACTGAAGTGTGGGTCGCCAGACGTCGACGGCCTGCCCGGCCCAGCTTGGTTCCGGCAGCCCGGCCCCCCGTCAAGGTCCACACAGCCCGATCAGTCACCGACCGAGAAGAACGCACGACCCCAGGCCCTACAAGGCTGCTTTCAAATTCGGCAGGAGCAGGATGCCGGATGGCCCCGGACATTGGGCCCCGTCACCAGGCAGGGCCGGGACCCCCTGGGGGCCGTTGCCTGATGTGGCCTCACGCCCCAGACACGGACCGGCGGACGCTGTGGGGATAAGACGGGACCGTGGCCGGGAGTCGGGCCTGGGTCCCATCCCACCACCGGCCGTCGGGCAGATGAGGAACAGCCGGTCCGCGGTCTCGTGTCCCCCGCAGCCCTGCTGCCGAGAGCACAGTTGCGGATCCCCCCATCTTTCTCCTGGGCCGGCCCGCCCCCCCGACGCCGCGCGATCATGCATCTATAAGGTCAGAGTGCGCGTTCGGCAGGTCCGCCCTGGGCCGCCGGCCCGGCACCGGGTCTCTGTCGGGCGGTGCTGCCGAAGCCGCGGTCACGGGTCCCTGCAGGAGTCCATCAGGATCGGCCACAGGCGGAAGCGACTTGAGCGGCAGCCGCGGTGGCGGGAAAACTCAGCTCCGGAGTCAAGAAGGGCTGGCGGGCGTGCGTGGTACCATGTGCCCAGGGCAGCCCGGCCGTGGCTGGTCTCCCGCCTGCGCGGGGCCTGCTGTCCCGCCGGCGCCCCGCTGTGCCGCCGCGGACAGTCCTTTCCAAACTCACGACAATCTTTTCCTCTTTCCCGGTGGAGCCACGAACTGGCGGGTGACCGCCCCGCGCGCGTCCTGTTCACGGTCCTCTTCCTGCCGAGCCATCCCCGCCCCCGCCGTGGTCAGGAGCCTCACCTCCTCTTAGGGGGTCAGCTCTTACAAACACTTTGCTTTGCTGTCCGTCCACTGAGTAATGCCAGCGCCCTCCCTTGTCTCCCTGAAACTGCGGCTCGGCCCTGCCCCCCACGCTGCCACGAGGGCATCTCCTCTCCCTGGGTCTGCACCCCTCCTTCCGCCCGGCCCTGGGCCCCTGGCCCGCCGTCTGCCCTGCCCTGGACCCCATGCAGGACCCCGGGGGCCTGCTGTGCCTGGGGAGGCTCCTGCCCTGTCGATGTCGGGGTGGGGGACGGGTCGTGGGGGACACTCGAGTTTCTTTCTGAATCCTGACGTGTGGACAGGCCTGCAGCTGCCCGTTCCCTTTTCTTGGCCCCTTATCAGGCCGCTGGTTCCCCGGCCCCGACCACAGCCACGGCGTCTCACTTCCCCGAAGCTCCGACCCCCTTCCCGGCCGCAGGTCTGTCCCTGCCCGCGCCCTGCGGGGCACCCCGGGCGGCCACCCCCAGGGAGCACAGGGGCCCCCACGGCTTCCCCACCCCA